GACGATATCCGCCGCTGATCTATGCGGAGAACAGCCATGCGTTTTTCCTAAGATGTGGGTCGGGTAGGCCCCTAATCCGATTTGTCATCTTGTGGCTGTCTCTTATACACATCTAGATGTGTATAAGAGACAGGTCTGCGTGTGCCAAGTTTGGTGTTTGTTGGGGTCTTGGAGATTGCTGTTTTGGACAGCCCTAAAAATCCTGATAATCCTGAAAAGCTGAAAAGAGTCAAAAGACTCGAAAGATCGAATTTTGCATGAAAACACACTTTTGCCTTGGTGTTTTCGGCGGCCCCTTCGATCCATTTTTTAACTTTTGTTTTCGCTGTTGGTTTGTTTGGTGTCCATTCTATGGACAGGCGACAAGTCTTCCTTAAAAGGTGTGGGACGTTTGCTATAATGACCCCGAAAAAAAAAAACTGAAAATTTAGGGCTCCTTAAGAGATGGGCCTATTGGCAGTAAGGTGTCATCAGAGAAGTTAGTTGCCGTTGTTGGAAGCACAGATTTTCTGACTTACAGATGCTCTCAGTAATAAGTTACTAATGAGCGCTTGCGCAGTAGGTGGCAAGGTGTGTGAGCTTCTTAGCTGAGCACAATTCCCGATTATTTGAATCTACCGTCCCTCTCGCACGGGGAATCACAACCACGACAAGTTGCATCAGTAGAAGAGAACGTTTGATGCCTTCCTGAAGATCATCAAGTTCCTTGTTTACGAAACTTGCACTATCTCTGAGGCACTGTGATCGCTTGCGTGTGATCGCTTGCGTGTGATCGCTTGTGGTTGTTCAATCCAGGACTTCAAAGCGCTTGTGCTATTACTGACCTTCTGTAAGCGGAATCGTGATTTAGCGTGGGAGTCAGGATCTGTGTTTAAGAAGATTGTGATTTAGTGCGCGAGTCAGGATCTGTGTTTACGAGGATAGGCATGGCGAGCCCTTGTGGGAATCGGAATTTGTGAAGTAAGGTCTGTGTATGTGTTTCTCTGTTTTGACTGTTTGTGCAGGTTCTTGCCCAGCTCCTCCTTGATCTGGATCATTCTGCTGTGGTTGAGGTGACCCAATCATTGGGAAGGGTGCAGGATCGTCTTTCTGGAAAGTGAGCTCTCTTTTTCCACTTGCTAAGGGGATGCTGTTTGTGGCCAGACACGAGCTTGAATTTTTTTGAGTCCGAGCTGACATGGAATTTGATGGTGGTGCACTGTCTGGGCCTCCGCATATTTTTTTTGTCGCAGGCCCAATTTGTTGTTTTTTGTGGACGTCTGAGCAGAAGTACACAGTGAACTCGATCAGAAGTTTTCCTGGGAGCCCCGATTTCTGTTTTTTTCCTCCCTTTTTTTCAATGCATGTCATTCTTATGCAGGGCCATGTTAATCTTCCGTGTATTGTCCCAAGTTTAAGGGATGTCCCGAGGGCATGGTAACTGACCGGACGTCCGGACCAGGTTCCAGACAGTCCGGAACAACATGTCCGGGTTCGGTGTCCAATCCGTGATGTCCGGATGGAGACCCCAGGGCCAAAAAAAGAAAAAAAAAGGGGCGGCCCGGAACGTTTTTTGGGTCCTGGACACAACGGGGTGATTGTCGTTTCACAGGCCCGGACACAAGACACAGCAGGTTCTTGGGTTGGTGGGTTCACACAGGCCTGCACAATTTCAAAGCGGCCGTTTTGAAGTGCCGCCCGCCGC